AAATTCGAGTCCGGTGGCACCTTTATGACCAACAAAAGTTTTATTCAAGGTATGAGCCTTTGTGTGCATGCACACTTCTTCAGATACATTGAAATGGAAGTTACCAGTCCATAAATATAAGTAGCAAATTAGCATACAGCATAATGAAGGTGTTTAACAGATGATAGGACCAAACAGGAATAACAAGCTTAGTTTATAGGGTCACCATTTATTTGGGTTTAATTCCAGGGGAAAACATAACATAGTGAAGGAAATAAATATATCAAAATTGGGCAGATGTACCCTTCTTAATTGTGGAATGCTGAGAGTAATTAACTGAGACCCTGCCGTTGCCATAATGGATAGCTCAGATTACATCTAGGAGGCTCAAAGACAACTTCAAATACTACTTTTTATAAACAACTATCCTCAGCTCCCACACAGGAATACAAAAAACAACTAAACAAGATTATGAAGGAATTATCCGTACCACATATGGGGGAAAAATCCTTACAGACACGCCACAGGAACCTCAACCAGGTACCTTTTACTGTCTGCCGAAAATACACAAACCTGGCAATCCAGGATACGCCATTGTCTCAAGCACAGGCACTCTCACTGTGGGGCATCTGGATACATGGACTCTGTTCTAAGACCCTACACCATTAATGCTCCTAGTTATGTGTGCAACACCACACATTTCCTAAGGAAAATACAATCTTTGAATAGCCTTCCAGAGCATACTATTTTGGCCACCATGGATGTGGAATCTCTGTATACCAACATCCCATATAAAGATGGATTACAATTTATAAGGAACATGATTTCTGACAACACCACAGCTGACCTTGCCACCAAACTGCCATTTTGTTCTCACCAATATCAAATTTGGTAACAACTTGTACCTTCAGATTAATGGTATAACCATGGGGACCTGCATTGCACCACAGTATGGTAACAGCTTCATGGCTGACTTGGAGCAATGTGTCCTAAGCTCCTGCCCACTCACACCTCTCCTATACCTGCGTTACATTGATGACATCTTTACTATCCAGATGTATGGTAAAGAATCCCTGGACAAATTCCACCAGGTGTTCAACAACTTTCACCCCACCATTAATCTGACAATGGACAAATCTATGCAAGAAATACATTTTCTGGACATCACTGTACAAATACATGACAGATGCACAAACCTTTTTAGAACTAAACTATCCACCAGACAAGGTCAAGAAACAGATCAACAAAGCTAGAATGATACCCAGAGAAAGCCTGCTACAAGAAAAGCCCCAAAGAGAAAATAACAGAATACCACTAGTGATCATATACTCAAAACAGTTCAACGCATCAAATGACTTACAACCTCTACTGAATTATGACAGTTCTCTTTCACAAACACTGGGGAGCAGACCTTTACTTGCACACAGACAGCCCCCCATTCTTAAACGACTCCTCACCCGCAATAATACAGCGTCTGACTTGACCATGGACACTGGTACCAGGGCTTGCAATAAACCCAGATGCCAACTTTGCTGCCACATACAACCAGACAACTGGACCTAAGAACACCAAACACTTCATCTTAGGTTCATTCACTTGCTCATCTTCTAACATTGTATATGCTATTAAATGTCAGCAATGCCCTTTGGTTCTCTACATAAGGCAAGCAGATCAAACCCTATGCAAAAGGATAAATGGACACAAATCTGACATCAAGAATCACAAGAATGAGAAACTTGTAGGAGAATATTTCAACCTTCCATGACATTCAATGGGTGACCTCAAAGTAGCTGTTTTATTGCAAAGGAACTTCAGGAACAGACTAGAAAGGGAAATTGTTGAGTTGCAAATTATTACAACACTCAAGAACAATGGAATCCCCAGGACTTAACAGGGATATTGGTTTCTTACTTACTACATATGCTACCCTCATTCAGTCCTTATAACTGTATTCTCATCAGTCCCCTAGAAGGGCTATACATCCTCTTTATTTTATTTCTTATTTGGAATAGTAGATAGTAATGTAATGAATAGTAGAGCGGAGCGGTGGCGCAGGCAGTACGACGCCTGCAGTTAACATCAATAGCGAACAGCCACAATGGCTGTTCGAATCCCCACCGCGGCCGGGTTGAGCCCCCGGCCCAGCTCCCGCCAACCCAGCGGCTCTAGTAATAACAAGAGGAATGGGTACCTGCCATAGGTGGCAGGGGGCACCCTCCTCCTGGCTCTGTGCCAGGAGTGCGGTCGGCGGTGATGGCGGCAGAGAGAAATGAGAGAGGCGGCGGCGAAAGACGAGAGAAAAATGGCGGCGGAGAGAGAGTCGAGCGATCCAGGGAGGCGGCAGCCAGACTGAGTGGAGGCGGAGCCAGAGCGACGCGGTGATGTGGGACGCAGCACGGCAGGAGCCGATGGGACATTCGCTGGAAGCTGCGCCCGAAAAAGCAGCGCCTCTCCGAAGGAGAAGAAATCAAGAGCCTGCTTGGACTTGGTCGCCAGCCATCCGGATCGCCGGAAAAAGAACGAGGCCGCCGGAAAGGAAGAAAGACTATGCCGCATGGGTGCTGGTAGGATATCCCCTCCCCAAGAGAATTGTGGCCCTAGTTAGGTACTAACTACGTAGTAGTTCGCTGTAAACCGCTCTGAGACCCATTAGGGGTCATGGGCGGTATATAACTCCCATGTAAGTAAATAAATAAATAAATAAAGTGTATTGTAATTTGAGTGGTAGATCAGAATGCATTTCTCTGGTCTGGGAACACAGGAGATACACACAGCCAATCGCCCAACCTCAAAGAGGAGGATGCTGTAAGGTTGCCTCCATGCTTGAGAGGAGACAGATGGAGCATGACGGCAGGGTGTCAGTTAATTACTCTCAGCATTCCACAATTAAGAAGGGTACATCTGCCCATCAGTCTCCAATTTTAATATATTTATTCCCTTTACTATGTTTCCCCCCAGAATTAAACAAATAGTAATCATCTAAACTAAGCTTGCTATTCCTGTTTGGTCCTTGAATCTGTTAAACGTCTTCATTATGTAGTATGCTAATTTGCTGCTCACCCTCTGCCTATATGTACAGACTGATAATTTCCATTTCAATGTATCTGAAGAAGTGTGCTTGCACATGAAAGTTTATACCTTGAATAAAACTTTGTTGCATCTTAAAAGTGCCACTGGACTCAAACTTAGTTTCACTTGGCTTTTATATCACTTACACATTTAGACAATTTAAATTATTCACAAAACAACAGATTATGTTGCATCAGAAGTGCCACTATTATGCCCATACTGGGGCTGAGACTGAGAATGTGACTTGACTAATGCAACCTAGAAAGGTCATGATAGCAGAGCAACAGAAATGAGGAACCTTCTGGATTAAATCTCATTCTTTTAGCCACTGCGCTACATCAAGTCCGTTACTAGAGTTAAAGAAATGTCCAATTAGTTCAAACAGTATGTGAAATTGTCCTTCTTCTCTCTTTCTGGTTCTCAGTGCCTCCTATGGTTTGTCAAGTCACAAAGCTACAGTGACAACAGAAGCCATTACCTGGCAGAATTAACAACTCCTTCCTTTAGCCATTCAGACTCTTGACCAACCTCCCTAACATTCTTCTCCCCCTCCCTAACATTCTTGTCACACTCCATAACCAGCCCTAAAGCTTTGCCAAATGCAACAAGAATGGCCTTTTTTTGTGGCTTCTCAAGCCTCAATTCCCTGTCTTCTCTGCTCTTTTCTTCAAGCATCCAGCCCTTCTTTTAGATTCCTCTCAGTCCCTTGTCTACTTGGTTCCCTTGAATCTCAAGGACCCTGGGTTCCCTGTCCCTTAATCTTTCTACATCATGTGATCTTTTCCAGAATTCACCCTGCTTTTGTGAGAAATTTTAAGCCAGCCAAATTGATCTCTTCAGAGCAGCTTGACTGCAAATTGCCCAGTTCCCCTAGGACTTTAACATTCCATGCCACCACACCAGGTCAGCCAGTCAGTCAATATGACAGACTTCATTCTCACAGGCACAACACAATATAGATAGCTAATGAAAAGGTTGTTCGCACTCACACTATGCTCCACCCATTTATTAGTATTCAAATCTATTTGCTAGATGGCCAGACTTGTTTCATGAGACGGGATGAAGAACAGATTTTCGATTCATCATGACCTACCTCTAGAACCCAGACGCTGATAAATTGCAATAGGGCAATTTGTGTTTCAAATACAACACTGCTTTTGTGTGTCCAGAACTATGTGAAATAATCATCTTGTAAACTGTTGTTCTTCTTTCCTGTGTTCGCTGTTTCGTTTTTCCAGAATCTTTAACAAACAAGCCCATGTTTTTGCTTGGCAACAAAACCCATTCTCTATAACTTAGTGTTTTGTTCTTTCCATGAATCTGATTTTTGTTTGCAAAAGGGACTTGTACTTCAATAATGACTACCTGACAAAAAAACAACAGACTTTGTCCCCTATAAAAATATCTACCCAGGCATACCTCGTAAAATGAAAATAATGTTGCAAAGGGTAATTAAGCTACCTCACATACATGAAAGGGGGGGGGTTGACATGAAAATGTATTTGTAACAACCTTTTATTACACAGTCTATCCTTTACCAAGAACCTTTCTATTCCTTTTATCCTGATGTGAAAAACTGCCTACTATTTCTTTATTTGTTCTTATGATAATACAACTCAAGAGGCTGTCTTGGGACATTTCTCCCTCTCCCTCCTATATAATCAACATATAGAAAGATGTGGAACAGCACTGGTGGCATATATCGCCCTTAACCTGTACAGGTTTACAACAGGAAAAGTCTAGAAGTCATCACTTTGATACTGTCTCCACCTACTGGTAAAAAAACAACAACCCACCATTCTGAACAGAAGTGAAACAGCCTTTTGATACATTTTGATACAACAGGTATGCATGAAAAACAGTAAGGGCATATCCAAGTGAACAAGAATACAACTGAATGTTCAGCTGCCCCCAAAATACATTGTATACAATGAAGCAAATAAACATATTACCTGGAACAAGCTCCATAACGATATAAATAGGTTGCCTTTGAGTGCAAACTCCTATAAGCTTTACAATGTTTGGATGGTCATACTGTTTGAGTATTCTGCAAAGGGTGCAAAGTTTTCATTACATTAGTATGTTACATGACCAGTTTGATTCATACAACAAAAATATCATGTCAATGTGTATAATTAATATATCTAAACCATCAAAAGGACCAATATCCGTAACTGAAATCACATTCCTCTAGTAAGATAACCTAAAATGCCATTTCTGACATTTCTATCACCTATCAGACATGAATAGGTGAAAAGTATAAATTGATGGAAGGCAAGCAAGGTGTTTTATCACCCAAAGAAAGGTATGATTTTTCTGTTCTTTCCCCTTTTCCCAATAGTTCTTAACTAGTACAATAAAGGTTAATGGAAAATAGTTCAGACTTTCCTAGGATATTGTATTATTTTAAATGTATTTAATATTAACTTGATGCCATGGTATTAGAAGGACCACTTTCTCCCATCAGCCAACCAACTAAGGTTTTCCCCACAAACCCTGCTCGCTGTGCTCCCCTGCAGTGGATGGCAACCAGAGACAGGGCTTTTTCAGCTGTGGCACCTTATCTGTGGAACCCTCTTCCCACAACAGAAAGCATTTTAATGGGTGTTATAACAGTTTTCTTTCCTTATAAATAAAAGGGAACTTTGTGGTACTACAAAAAGTAACAGATTTATTTATTTATTTCATTTGTATCCCGCCCACACTGCGAACAGGCTCAGGGCGGCTTACATAGTCGATACAAGGTTCCATAAAATCCACATAAAAACATTTAAAACATTTTAGAACAATCAGGTAATCATAAAGTGCTAGTAATAATAATCATTCCATCATTAATTGAGATGGATGTAACGAGCAGACAATTTCCGACTCAGTGATCTTCTGGCGTCACACAATGGTATGGCTCGATCTAAAAGCTGGGGCCGGCCCATAACCACAGATGTTGGTGGTAGTGGTGAGGGCAGCTCCTAATTGAAGGCCTGGTGGAAGAGCTCCATCTTGCAGGCCCTGCAGAACTGTAGAAGATCCCGCAGGGCCCTGATCTCTTCCAGGAGCTCATTCCGCCAGTATGGATCCGCCATTGAAAAGGCTCTGGCCCGGGTGGCAACGAGCCTGGCATCCTTGGGGCCTGGAAGGGTCAATCAGTGTTTAACCCCGACCGTAGTGCTCTCTGGGGTATATATGGGGAAAGGTGGTCCCTCGGGTATTATGGCATATGGTATTATGTAAAAAAATACTGCTTGGGCATTTTGAACCCTAATATTCACAGTCTTTTCCCATGCAGGTAGTTGTATCTGTAGACTGAAGTTCAGTTCTGTTGACATCTTCCACTAGCAGGTGAAGACTTCATTTCGTTTGGCATTCCCTCCATAATCCCTCCTTCCTGACTAATATTTTACGCATTGTTTTTATGTCTTTGTATATATTTTAGCTTTGTTTTTAATTGTTTTAATGACATGTGTTAATTGGAGTGTGTGGTTTTGATGGTTTCAAAATGTGATTTTATTAGGTACAATTTAATTTGTGAACGGCCTTCATGGCCATTCTGAGGGCAGAAAGGTGGGATATAAATGTTGTAAAATAAATAATAAATTCATGGGTAGAGCCTGTTTCATTACATGCATGGTGAAATAATTTTGTCAGTTTTTAAGATGGCAAAAAATCACTTCTGGTTTTGCTACAATAGACTAATGTTGCCAGCCTTCTATAGTTTGTCTCTAGAATTAATTACATGATTTGTTTTAGGATTTACCAGGGCTTAGCCCAATGCTGCTTTCAGCATTGGGTCTTAGTTCTGTGAGGAACCCCCCCCCCCTCTGAATATGCACTTCCTTCAGCACTGAGAAACTAGTCTCCTCCTTCCCCATCTGCATAGAACAAATCAACAGCCCTCTCCCGCAGGTAGCTACGGCAGCGGACACTTAGAGTTACACTGCCTCACTCAACATGGAGGTTCTGTTTAGCCAGCATTACTAATAGCCACTTGGTGGACCTCTCCACCCCAATGAACTGGGCTTCTAAATCAGCTGAGGCAATATCTTATAGTAGTTAATTCCATTCGTTAATTATGCAGGACATGATTTCCATTTGTCTATCCTGAACTTATTGCCAATCAAGTTCATTGTAGGATCCAAAGTTCTAGCTCTTTTCTATTAAGAGACTGAGGAACATCCCATATTCTCTTTCGGTCAACCTGTGAGGATCAACACTGTATTGTCTACTGGGTCACACAGACTGTCTCTCAGTATTTTTCTCTCAAGCTGTGTGTTTGATTTTCTGATTCTGAGATTGAAGAAACTCTTCTTATACCTGATAAAGCAGGCAAAAATTTCAAGTTCCAATAGATATGTCTTATGCATGCCTTTTGCAGAGGCTCGGCTATGCCTCATATAATGTAGAAGGCACAAGGGCACAGTATTTTGGAGATCTTGGGCGGTGCGGCGCTGCGCCAGGATGCGCTTCTCGGAGCTCCCGAGAGCTCCCTGCTCCCGTGCGCTTCTTCGGAGCCCCCCGATGATTCGGGGGAGCTCTGCTCGCTTCTCTCGGAGGGAGAGCGAGAGCAAGAGGCTTGGCCGCCCCCCCCCCGTTTCCATGGCAAGGGCGGGGATGAGTCCGGCTCGCCCCGAAGCAGGAGCGTCGGGCAGCGGAAAACATGGACGCCATGTTTTCCATAGCAGCAGCCAGCCGCGATTTTAAACTTCACTCTTGGTGGTTATTTGAGTTTTCTTTTTGTTCGTTTCTACACCATCCTGAATGAAATACCCTAACCGAAGTGGACGCAATTACTGAATACCCCTTTTGGAGGCATCCCTTCCCCCATCGTTAAAGAGAAAGCGGCCAGGAAGATTCTCGGGCAGCGCGACTAGAGAGAAGTGGGGTAAGAACATATCCCTGTTGGATTTATTACTAGAAAAGATGACATACTAGAAATGGACACAAATTATAGAAAACATTCGGAGACATATTTTGAATGATTTATTTGTACTATTTACTTCGTGGATCACCTAATTGCAAACACCTGGAGTAACACGAGCGGACATTTTGAGACAATGGAGGTGAAAACCTCCATATGCAATGAGGTGCGGGACGCAATATTACATGAACTTAGCTCCGACAAATTTCTTAAGTCACTACAAACTGAGCTAAATAAAGCGCTTGAACAAATGTGGGACAATTATTTTGAAAATTTAAAGTGCTCTTCTATCAAAGAGAACAGCACAAATGAGCAATTAAATGATATTGCGAAGAGGAAAGAACTTCAGCAAATTAAACAGGAGAGGGAACATCAAGGCAGCCTCTCTGTTCTTGAAGAGAACGATGTACACGAGCAAGATTTACAGATTAGGATTGAAAGAAAGACGGGCAAAGTAGATAAAGCGAGACGAAAAATGGGACAAGCTAAAAAAGTTTGCTCGTCAGATATACGGAGTAAGAAAGAAAGGAGGAAGATAAAGAGAAATAAAATAAAGAAAGAACTAAGGAGAACAGAGGGCTTCCATCTTAAAAAAGCTCTGAACTGGGACACAAAAAAATCAGAAAAAGACAGTGAATACAAAGATCAACGGCATAGGAGAGAGACAGTAGAAAATCAGTGCAGAAAAGAATTACAATTTAATGCCAATTTAAAGAAATTAATGCCACAAGGCTAATTTATTATACTGATTCTTAGAGAGCTTAATCAGGAAAATAGTGACCCAGGAACGGATAAACAGAGAATTTAGATATAAATATATGCATTGAAGATGATTTAGTTTTTTCTTAATCACATGTTGGTGGTAGAGATGTTGGTGATAGAAAATTATAATTGCAAATTAGTTGAGAACTTTAATGAAATGTAATGATGAAATTAGAAAATATTTTGAGTATCCTGAAGGTTTCAACAGGATTAGAACCATTTATTTAATCTGAAATAAGAGGCCAGAAAATAATTTCGGATTAAAGAGATTTAATTTCTTAATGATAAAATGGAGATTAGTTACAAAATATATAATTTATCAACGTGGTGTAGAAGAAAACCATTAAATGGATTGGGGCAAGAGGGTGGAGGGTTCTATGTTTTGTTATATGTTTCTGTGTATGTGTATGTTTGTTTTTATATATGTGTTAAAAACTTAATAAAAAATCATTATTAAAAAAAAAAAATGAGATATTTTAAATAAGAGATAAAGGCTAAAAGGAACTGGAAACATTTAAGCAGCCTTTCTACAACTCAAACATACTTCTTTCTAAAGTTTTTTTTTCCAGCGAAGGAAGGTTCTAACTCAAATTCATTCAACAGGAACTCAAATTATCTATCTCTACAGAGACACCATGAGATATGTTCTGTTAAGCGACTCTCTCTCTCTCTCTAGTATATAAACCTAAAGAGACATTAAACCCTGAGGTTTTCTGCCTAGTACTGTTCTGAAATATTCTGAAATATTTTAATTCAGTGTTGCTTAAAAAGTGTTGGTTAAAAAAAAAGGAGTAATTTCTGACTACAGAATTTTAGCAAGGAAAAATAGGTCTAGATAGTTACTAAAGCAACACGAAATTTAAGATACTTTCAGGTGACTGAAAGAACTCCCAACTACAGTCCAACTAGAGCCAATATTACAGCACTGACATTATGCCAACTACTGTTGTTAGCAGTAAAATATATAATTTAAAGCATTTCCAGTGAATTCATATGAGTGAGGTTTCTATCAACATTTTATACTTTTCATTTTCAATATCATCTTTGATTGTCTTCATACAATTTATTCCTTCCAAGAGACCCATTCCTTCCTGGGTTTGGTGTAGTGGTTAAGTGTACGAACTCTAATCTTGGAGAACCGGGTTTGATTCCCCACTCCTCCACTTGCACCTGGCTGGATGACCGTGGGCAAGCCATAGTTCTGATAAGAGCTGTTCTTGAAAAAGAGCAGTTTCTGTCAGAGCTCTCTCAGCCCCACCTACCTCACAGGGTGTCTGTTGTGGGAAGGGGAAGGGAAAGGAGTTTGTAAGCCACTCTGAGACACCTTTGGGTAGTGAAGGGCAGGGTATAAATCCAATCTCTTCTTTTTCTTCCTCAAAGAGAATTCATTACCTAATCTAATTAAAAGCCTATTTACAACCTACATACACATTTTAAGTGCAATCCTAAAAACAGTTATATCTTTCTAAGCCCACTGACTTCAACAGAGTTAGAAGGGTATAAGTCTGTTTAGGATTGCACTGTTAAGTATCTAATGGTTTTTCAAAAAAAATATTTCACGTTTCACTGCTCACCTGGCCTCTGATAAAAACTTTATTTTCAACTCTTGAGGAAGGTCTTCTTTACAGGTTTTTACAGCAACAGGAGTTTTATCTTTTAGTGTTCCCTTGTACACTTCACCAAAATTACCCTGAAATTGCAGATATTAATTGTCAATAAACACAGTACTGTCCTCAGTAAAATAAAGTTTTATAGTACAGAAAATATCACTAAGCTTCATACACAACTGCAATGAGGAACAATATTCTTACAAGTTCACATGCCACTTAGTACTGACTGAATTCCTTGAGTCATAAATGAGTTGCCAATTATGAACATCACTGCCAAATTGCCCCATGTTTTGTTGAAGGCTTTACTGGGCCCACAACTTAGAATGAGATAAACATGAGAACATGAAAAGTGGCCTACTAGATCAAGACCAGTGGTCCAACTAATACAGATTCTATTTCACATCGTGGCCAACTAAGAACCTTCATACAAGCAGAATATGTTCCTACTTTTGTCCTAGTCACAGACACTAGCTGCAGCCCAAACAGAGTTAAGCATGCCTCTAAAGAATAATGTGTTACAACGCTTCAAAGAACTGGGAAGCATGCATATGGAAGCATCAGAATTTAAGGAAAAAAGCAGAACAATTATAGGGCTTATCTGACCAAGACCAAGGATGTTTTTCAACTTAATAGCCAATGGCTTATAATAACTGTTTTCTCAGCTATATTTTTCTCACAAAAATAGGAGGGGGTACTCTTTTCCTTTCCTTTTATGATATGACTCTTTTGGCCACAGCCATCAGTCTAATCATACATAGAAGGGGGGGGGGTTTCACTCCAGACACAAAATGTTGTTTTAAATTTTAAGCTGGGTACTCCACAAGGCCTGTATGTGAGATGCATGTGCCAGGTGCAAAGAAAGTGGGTACTGGGTATTGAGAAAAGCTCAGGAAATGCAGAGGGGTTTTTTGCCCCCAGGGCAAAATTCCCAGAATATATATCTCCTAGTCATTGGTTTAATTTCGACTCCAAATTATTTTCTCTCTCATGTAAATCAGCTGATTACTTACTTTGCCCAGTAATTCTCCCAGTGTGACATCTTCATGACTGAGAACCCATTTCTTATCCTATAAGAAAGAAAACACACCAATGTTGAATCCATAAAAAGACACACCTTATACAATATATTTGACCTTCTAGGAACAGACCTGGGGAAAAGATCAACAACCTCAGATATGCAGGCGATACCACTCTGATGGCTGAAAGTGAAGAGGACCTTAAGAGCCTCTTGCTCAGGGTAAAAGAGGAGAGTGCAAAAGTGGGCTTGAAGCGCAACATCAAAAAAACTAAGATCATGGCATCCGGCCCCATCACTCCATGGCAAATAGAAGGGGAAGTCGTGGAAGTGGTGACAGACTTCACGTTCCTGGGATCCCAGATCACCGCAGACTGTGACAGCAGCCATGAAATTAAAAGACGCCTGCTCCTTGGGAGGAAAGCGATGGCGAACCTAAACAGCATGATAAAAAGCAGAGACATCACCCTGCCAACAAAAGTCCGCATGGTCAAAGCAATGGTATTCCCAGTAGTCATGTATGGCTGCGAGAGTTGGACTATAAGGAAGGCCGAGCGCCGAAGAATAAATTCTTTTGAACTATGGTGCTGGAGAAGACTCTTGAGAGTCCCTTGGACTGCAAGAAGATCAAATCAGTCAATCCTCAAAGAAATCAACCCTGACTGTTCCCTGGAAGGCCAGATAATGAAACTGAAGCTCAAATACTTTGGCCACCAAATGAGAAGGGAGCACTCACTGGAGAAGACCCTGATGCTGGGAAAGATTGAAGGTCAAAGAAGACGGGGACGGCAAAGGATGAGATGGTTGGACAGTGTCATCGACGCAACGAACATGAAATTGAGCCAACTTCAGAGGACAGCGGAAGACAGGAGGGTCTGACGGGAGCTGGTCCATGGGGTCGCGAAGAGTCGGACTCGACTGTGCGACTGAACAACAACAACAACAGTTGGACCATTCAATCAATAACAAGCTAAGAACTTATAACCCTGAGAATCTATAAAGAAGACTTTAAAATGTTCTGAGCAACAGGACATTAGAATGTTGGGGAATATTCCTACCACATGGGTTATACAAAACCAGATATGCTTTTGCATATACCCACTGCTGAATTAAAACATGTATTTCAGCAGAAACAAGGTAATTCATTTTGCAATAAAATCCAAGTGCTGACTTGAGTCAACAAAATGACCCCCAACACACTGGAAAAAGCTAGTTTTTATTATGCAGATGAACTAGCTATATATTAGCATCTGTTCAATGTACATAATGCAGGCTCGTATCATATTCCAGTAATATTCAGTAGTATAATAAAACAGAAAACATACATTACAGTGCTATATTAATGACTATTCTGTTACAGAATATACTTTAATACTGTAGTACTTACTATTCCATGACAAATTTAATTTGGCTACATCTCTTTTCTAGACCACTGTGTTACTGATCAATATTGCCTTGCATTGAACTTCCAGTTTATGGCGACATGCAGGCAGATGCATCTCCCGGAAGCCCCGGGGATGCTTTCTGCACACCAGCGTGTAGGAGGGGGTATGACAGGTCATGATCCCCCCCGGAGCCTTGGTAAAAAGCTCCTAGCGAGGGGGCTTTTGAGAGGTGACCTCTTCGCCGGCGCGATGCCAGAGAATTGAGGTGCTCCTCCGCCCAGAAGGTCCTGTCGCTGAGTGTCCGCATGGACTTAGCATCGTTGACCAGGACAAGTGTCGGAGATCGGGCAAGAAAAACTAATGCCGAGCATGGCTGGTTGGCCGGCAACGAACTGTGAGTCGGGTTGAAGCAAGCATGAAGATTTAAAAAGAAAGCTGCCCCCCTTAACAAGAGATGAAAAACCTCCCAAACGCATGAATGAAAACACAAGAATAAAGAGGGGGGAGTTTTAAGAGTCTTACCAGAGTGCAGATAAGCGTATGGGCAAATATCAGAGACTTTAGCAACTTTTAGAAAAGTAAATAATCCAAAAAGATGGTGGGGAAGAAACCAGATAAGGAAAAACTGTTGACAGCGAAACTAGTGGGCAGTCCTCAAACGGAAGAGACCACTGAGCTTTCCAAAATGTTGGCAGATTCCTTGCGCCCCCTGCTGGATGAGATGACTAATATCAAGCAACAATTGTCAACAATTGGTCAGAGTTTGGCTTCACAGAAGTTGCAACTGACTAAATCTTTAAAAGCAACGGAGCAAATGGCAGAGAAGGTGAAGGAAATGGATGCCAATACTAAAAAAGTCAACAAAAAGGTGCAAAAGCTAGAAATGAAACAAGCAACAGAAGAGTCACAACTTTTACAGCTGCAAATGGAGAAAGCAAATTTGGTCCTACGGTTCCAAGGGGTCCTGGAATCTAAAGGAGAGAATCTGAAGCAACTGTTGAGTGAAGCAATAGCCCCAATGACAGGTTTGACAGTGGAATATCTTTACAGCGAGATGGATGTGGTCTACAGGTCCTATTCCTTATACATCAAGAAAAATAATCTGCCTGGGAAATAGTAGTCAGATTCTCGAAGAGACATGTGAGAGACTCTATTTTGAAAGCGACTACAGGAACACCCTTAAAAATCGGGGACAATAACATTAGGATTTTAAAAGATATTCCATTTGAAATAAGATAGACGAGAAAGAAATATAAAGACTTAATCCTTTTCTTTTTTTTTACAAAGGGCATCAGTTACAGATGGTTAATTCCAGAAGTCATCATTTTCAAGCTCCATGATAAAAAAGAAAAGATTGATTCTGTTCCTAAAGTACGTGAGTTTCTGAGAACACAGCTGGGGGAACCAGCGGAGGACAAGAAGGAAGAAGAAGAAAGCAAATCTGATGGCGAGCTAGGCTCGGTGTCTTCTGACGAGGACTCTCTCTCTGAAAAGGGAGCGGCAGCACCCAAAAGTCCATATAAATTGAGGATAAGAAAAGATATGAGAAAATAAAGGCTGATGGACTCTGAATTGTGCCTGAAAATTTAGTAATAATTTTGGGGTGCTCTGAGGGTTTCATTAAACAGATAAATGGATGGTTGAAAGATAAATAACCTAGCATAACCGACTATGCTCAATGTATTTTTAGCATTTTAGATTAACATTGAGATAAGCTGATGTATTGATCTCCCACTCTTGGCGTTTTAGTTTTTAGTGGGTTTCGTTCCTTTGTCCTTAGATGTAGTTCCCCCTTCCTATATTTTCAGTTATAGTTTGTAGTCTTGTGAAAAAACCAATAAAAAATTCCCCTTAGGGGGACTAAAAAAAATATATTGCCTTGCATTGCAATCACCTTTTTCTTGTTATCTGGTAATAGGTGGATGCACACTGATTAAAACCCTCTTGAAAATATAGGGTTAAATCTAAACTTTCTATTTTCTTAATAGTGGAACTGTCATCCAATGCAATAAGATTCTCACCAATGCAACATACCTCTTTCACAACAGAAACACTCAGTGTCCTAGCAGAAGGTTCCTAGCCCTAGAGGAAGACTTCCAACATTAATTTATTTTATTTATTTATTTTGGGATTTATATCCCGCCCTACCCATACGGCCCAGGGCGGCAATTAACAGGCAAGGGAAGCCCCTTTATAGACCCAAAAACACACAAAACAGAACCAACCAGGGTTAAAAGCTTCTGCAAACCCAGAAGAGCCTTGGTTTGGTGAGAAGGGAAGTTGAGAAGAAGCAGAACTAGATGGAGAAGGGCAACAGAACAAAAGAGGCATGGCAGGAAGCAGGGCTGGCAAGGGTATGGGAACAGCGAAGCCAGGACATGGGAATGGGATTTCCCATCCCTTATGAGTCCTTGAAGATCCTCTCTTGTAATAGTATACTGTTTGTCTGTTTTAAAATACCTTTTTGTGATCTCTCACTACTACACCACAAGGGGAAGTGAGGTTTTCACAATGAGGTGGGTAAGTAACTACACACCGAACATATCCAAAGATTAAAGCATGTCTTGAGTAAGAACAATTGATGAATTTTCCTGGGTAGCATCATATTTTTAATTTAAAATTCTTCTTGACAGAATTATCAGAAAGATCCTCTATTTACAAGGATAATTTTTAAAAAAATATTAAAAGTGCAGAACGGTCCACTGGTGGAGTTCTTGATGGTACCTGGTATTTTTGGCCACTGTGTGTCAGAGCATTGGACTAGATGGCCCATTGGCCTGATCCAAAATTGGCTTCTCTTATGTTTTTATGTTCTTATGAGGATAAAAAAGAAGAAAAGGAGAAAGATGTATGCTGCTTTGGTCTCCACTACAGGAAAAAATGGTGTATAAATGAAGTAAATAAATATTAATACAGAGGGGTCATTTCATAGAAAAAGAGGTGCAGGAGCTCATTAGCATAACTTATTTGCATATGTCACACCCCCTGACATAACCGGAAGTGTGTCAGAAGGCAACACCCACCACTCAGGCTCCACCCCAAAAATCTCCAGGTATTTCCCAACTCAGAGCTGGCGAGCTCTTCAGAAGACCAAAGCTGCTGTAACGTAGAAGATGCAGCCTCTCATGAAGGGACTTGTACATGGCAACCAGTATCTTGTGGGCCCAGCAACTGATTGAGTGACTGTAGGATAGGTTATTCTAAAATGAACACAAATGAAGCTGCCTTATAATGAATCAGACCCTTAGTCCCTCAAGGGCAGTACTGTGAACTCAGACTAGCAGCAGCTCTCTAGAGTCTCAGGTTGAGGTCTTTCACATCACCTACTGTTGCCTGGTCCTTTTAACTGGGGATGTCAGGGATTGAACCTAAAGCAGAAGTTTTTTCAATGAGCCACAGCCCCTCTGCAGGTGTGACATCATGTATTTCCTGCCTTGCATCGACTAGTAATTGCAGTATGCATTAATGTTGTTGTTGTGACACCACCAACTTTATAATTGTTTAATACACAAAAGATTTCAAGCTCTTTCATGTGATGTGGAATTTTCAATACATGTGTGTATAACATAAAGTAGCCCTTTAAAGGGGGGGGCTCTTTATCATTAGTAAAGAAGAACACATCACTTAGCTTTTCCTCATCTTTTTTAGCAGTTGACTGATATATGTT